ATATATATATATATTTATTATTATATAGTGAAGTTTGCGTCGTCGTAGCAACTCAACATAGCAGTGAAGCAGTTTATACATATATGTGAAGGAATTGGCATAAAACGTTACACATTGTTTGCAATCCAAGGTTTAAACTCGAGAATCGATTCCAGTGCATCGGAATCGATTCTAGTCGATTCCGCGAATAATCGATTCTGTAATCGAACCCGGTCTCGATTCCGCCATCCCTAATTGTGAGTAAGTAATAAACAATATCGTCAGGCTAATTATCGAATTGCGTAAGTCATTTTGGTTGGTCTGAGTTTTTTATAAAATAGTTATTAATGTAATGCTGCGCACTTGTCTGTTAAATCAGATTTTATCCCTAATTGATATCATATCTACCGAATCGAATTTCAGAAAATACACAAATCATAAACAAACGCCAGGTTGCCAATACAATTATTAAGTTGTATAACAATTATTAAGTTGTATATGCTTTTACTGCCAGACCATCGAACTCCAAGAAGGCTCTCAGTTTTAAAGAATAGATTTCCTACACCAACCAAGACCATGCTTTAAAAACATGTGTGTCAGACCTTCGTATACAGAGGAACAATTCCCTTACGTACCGGAATTTCGAACCGGTTATAAGCTAGCGTGTTGACTAGGCGGTTAAAAAGACTTAACTGTGTTTGCGTCGCAGTTTACACAACTCGATTCCATAGCCCATGTCTGCCGCCTCGCCCAGAGACTGTACCGGAAAAAAGCCTTTTTTAAAATATTTGCTCCTCACGTATCGTTGTATAATAACAAGGACTCGTATAAAAAAAAGTTTGTCCCTTGAAACACAATGACCTCTCCTCATTTACTTGTGGCGTAATAAACATATCTTTTTTAAGAATCGAATACGAGTAGTCAGATCTGATAGGTGATAACGTCATCTGTTCGTGTATCACAGTGATCCTAGCATTTTTAGACTATTTGTGCCTAGGATATAAATCACAAGTGATCAAATTCGAAGTATTTCTAAACCATGCTTAATCACGACTTTCGTAGCAAACAAGGCAGCCAGCCACCATTATGTGACGATCAACTATTTTGGAAGAATCGCAACCGGTTTCCGGTTCGGCATTAAATTTATTGCAATGAGTGAGATGACGTCATACCAGTTTGTTATCGTTCTGTAGTAAGTTTAAGAAAGAATTTGGTGGTGAATTTGATAGGCAAGCAGGTAAATAAATGTGCATTAAATGTGATCCTGGATGGCTAAATAAGATTCTTCATTTTGCATTTAACGAAATGACCACACCAACAATTTCATTCAATTTTCCAGTTGAAATTTTATTGTTAAACCTTCTAATTAAAAAAACAAGTTTCCCGAATTCTGCTGTTTAAAATTGTGTAACCTACACAAATAATTTCTAAAGCACTGACTGAGTTAATTTATTACATTCTGCGTTCTGGGCATGGGATTTCAACCCGAGTATTTAAAACTCCAACAGCGTTAAGCCAAACGTGTTACCTATTAGGCCATTGCTTGATGAATATTTCTGCCCAATCGTTTTTTTTTTTTTTCAATTTGTTTTTGCACAAAATTTCGCAATATAAAATTGCTGTGCTCACTGAAACCACGAACCAGGAAACCATCGAGAAAGTTGGCCAAGTTTAACTTGACAATTTGCTGACGATCGGGCCAAAGAACCAGAGATATGGGGTAATTTTGGAGAATTCAGAGATGAAGGAGAGGAGTTGACCTTTGGCCTCTTTTGCTTAGCTTACATGTTTTCAAACTTTATAATGCATGAAGTACACATTAGCGATTACAAAATTGAGTTTTATTTAAAAGCAGCACTTTTTTCTTGTAAGTGCGACGTGGGTTATTTTCCATGATAATGTGGCGCCGCACGAACAACAAGTTTGGAAACCGCTGGCCTATTAAATTTATTGCAATGGATGGTCCTACCAGTTTGTTAGTGTTTTGTTTTGAGATTGAAAAATATTTTGGTTGTGAACTTGATAGATAATTGCAGCAAGTAACTTAATGTACATTTAATGTAATCCAGGATGGCTAAATGAGATTCTTAATCTTGAATTCAACGAAATATCAGAATGTTGTGCCTTCCCAACAATCTCATTGAATTTTTTAGTTAAAATATTCCTGCAAAGAGGTTTTTGTTAGGCCTTTAGGCCATTGCTTAATAATTATTTCTTTCCCATCGTTTTTTTTTTTTTTAAGTTGTTTTGGACACAATTTCGCAATTTAAAATTGCTGTGCTCACTGAAACAACGAACCAGGAAACAATCAAAAAGTTGGCTAAGTTTGAGTTGACAATTTCCTGACGATCGGGCCAAAGAAATCAACACGTTAGGTAATTCTTATTCATTCTTTATATGGCGTCAATACGTAGCAATTCACTTGGAAGTTGAATAAATTGAGGATTGCGTGGTGACTCTAATCAGTTAGTTAGACAATCTACAAGTTTGGAATATGGGTGTCCGAGTTGTTTTCACTTTCTTTGTAAGTAAAACCTTCGATGTTAGCATATAGTTACGTTTTAATGATGCCTGCAACAGTTTATTATGTAGTATCAATTCATTCTAGGACTGCCCAAAACCAAATAACTTGATTTAATAATTTTTAAATATAAAGTAATATTTTCGAATAAAAAATCCATCAGCGGCCATACATAATTCTTAGTATATTCATGAGATTCAATTTGATAATGCAGAATGGTTTAGGTTAACATTGTCTTAATTAATCCAGCGTTTCCCAAAAAAAGGAGCAATTTTTGCCAGAATTTTTTTCGTTATTAATTAAGAAGAAAATTATTAGCGTGTTTATTAGTAAATACTCCTTACTTTTTTTATATTTTTGTTATACATAACATACATGTGCAAGGGATATGAAATTTTTAAACTGTTCAAAAGGCAGAGTGCGAGTTACGCGTATCGCTATAGATAACGAACAAAAATAAGAATTTTGAGAGTAAGGGGGCATGAAAAGTTTTAAATAAGGAGAGGAAAGTATGACAAGAGCGGAGAAGCATTCAGTTAGTCTGTAACCAGTTAGTACATGTTAAGTGAAGCTTATATTTTTGGTCTGATCGTAAGGTGTCAGTATCTATAAATACGGTATGGAACCATCAATATTGCTGCTACAATCAAGAATGTGATCGAATATAATATTCCTGGTTCACTCCCATTTTGTTATTCAGATGCTTTTCTGTGAAGCAGCTGGACACGCAAGGCACTTTCAGTCGTGCGATATTAATCGTAAGTTAGGTGGCTAAATATACTTGTGAACTAACTTTGTATGCAAACTATACTCTTGAGTTGAAATCTCGAAATCTGAGTTCCCAGAACGACGCTACTCTCTCACCCTAAACTCCCACAGTGTCGCATGAATTCGTCGGTTTAGAAGCCACGTCTGCGTATGAACGCACAAGTACGAATAGGCATTGACGTTGTGTAACGCTTTACGTGAATTAGATTACGCCTATGCAATCGCGCATTTTGTCGTTCACGGCTGGATTTCCGATCGTGCCAGTATTACAGCATAGAATGCGGTTAAAAGCTAAATATTCGAACAAATCTTGATTGAACATAGTTAATAATGCCTAAAAAAGAACATGTTATATACGTTTGTTATCTGATTATGGGTCGCAACTAAATTGCCGAATTATTTCTTCGGAAACATCAATGCTAATTTATCACTGTTAAATATCATTAAAATTACAAACAAATTTTATCAACGAGAACGTGGAAGACATGATGGCGTCGCCAGATCACCTGCTAAATATTTCATATTTTTCGACGCGAAAGAATCGAATTATTATGCCGATAAGTTGATAAGAGCTGTAACACCAGTCGCGACGACTGATCTTTGAACTTTGTAAGTTATAACGTAAAATTTGTACGCTTCGATGAAATTCATAAGGCCGCACAATATGCTAGCCAAGAGACCGTTCATATCAATTTTGGAGCAACTGTTGTATCAGCTCGCTGGACAAGCAAATTTTTAAATCATCACCTGGAATGAATAATGTAAAACGCAGGATTAGCAAAAATCGGCATAACACCAGTTCAAATAATACCCACTTTAACTGTATGACTATACGTTAATGACGTCACACACTTGCGAAGGAAAGCGATTTGGAAGCTCGAAGCTGCTGCGTGGTGACGTAATTGCGTAACGTCGATGCGTTACGAAGTTATCAAGTAACGTCTTTGTTTACGTCAAGTTGGCGCAGTGGGCATGTGTCGAATTGAAGAACATTCAATAAAATTGCTTCGATAAAATTCAATGAGATTTCAGTTTTACTTTATTTAGGAATTATAATTAGTCTCCGAGGTTTTCTTTCAAAAATTATAAACTTTTCTAAATTTAATATAAGGTTCGCGAAATTTAAAGTTGCATAATTCATACGGGACAGCCGGTAAACCGGCTTTCAGGGTCAGAAGACGTTTTTGGAAAAGCTGTAATCTCGGCTTTTAGAGTTCAAAAAGACGTAATTTGGGTCAACACAGCCCTGAAATGTTGGGTCATAGTAACCTGGTTTTGATTTACCTATAAACACGAAAAACGAAGGTCCCGATATTCGAATAATATATTCGAATTAGATATCCCGACTTCAAGCACTGAATTAAATTAACCTAAAATAAACAAATATCTCTACACGCGTTTTTTGTTTCCTGTTTTCGGCCTTTCGTATGTAGAAAATCTTACGTTAGTCGGAACAATATTTTTACGAAAATAATTTTCGTAAGGTGGATTTTTCGTATCCAGATCCTTTCGTAGGTTTAGTTTCTGCAGTATTTCTATAATAACTTCGAAACATAAAAAATAGGACGATAGACTGATGTCCGGCTCAAAAGCAAACCGTCTCATCAACTTGATTCTCATAATAAATATTCAATCTGGTCAATGCCGATTCCTGGACTTTTTACCTCCTTTCGTTATAACATATCTAGATACTCATTATATTATTTCTTTCCAGTGATTATACAATCTAAGCATGATTACGAAACGTACGTTACTTCTAGTCTGCCTTTGTCACTTCGTCTTTGACGACGTGTTTGGTGAAAACGATTCAATTTCCAGTCGCGGTTCAACCCACTCTCATCGTTCTCCTGGCCCACCTGGAAAAAGAGGTTTAAAGGGAGAAATGGGTGGAATAGGGATGCCTGGGGTCAAAGGTCAACAAGGCGACCCAGGAATTGTCGATTATCAAAAAGTCAATGCCACCGTTGAAGAGCTATTTAAGAAATTAGGTAGATTTTTCAAGTTTAGATTGCGGTCCTTGTTTTGCTTTTGTATAAATTACATGTAGTCTCTTATTCAAATAGATATTTATTATATACAACTATTCGACCTGAAATTATTTTTTGTCGAGCGGATTTGGGCGCATTAGCTTCTGTTATTCAAACACTTAAAAGGGATATCGTATTTTCCATGTAAAGCAGTAAGTCTGGATTTCTGGAAAATATACTCTTTTGTTTTACATAACATTTAAACGGTAATTACCGCTTAAATTCGACAATGGAATTAGATAGTTTCGCAATTGCTCAACAATAGTAGTTGCTTGTCTATGGCCCTGTATGGAGCGAAACTTCTCGTTGATAAAACAAAAATGTAGCGAAATGCTTAATTAATTAACAAAAATTGTTTCTACAGTTGAGAAGTCAGTGATTTCAAGAATTGAAGAATTAGAAGAACGAATGCTGGCAAAACTTGGTGAATTGGAAGAGAAGATTGAATCAGGTATTTCGGTTCCTTTAACGTAAACTTGACTCCCAATCATAGAAGCGCAATAACATTTTTTTATCAAAATAAATACAAAGATTAATGTAAACGAAAGAAATAAATTGAACATGCAATATAGTATACAATAATAAAGGTTTGGCTCTTCTAATTCAATAAGTGAACGCAGATAAAAAATACGCTAATCAATCCGAAATGCGAGCATAACCTACAAATACGTAGAAACAAACTTATACACAGCGTTAACGAATGCAGGAATTTATTACGAACCATAAGGCGCATTTAAAATTCTTTTTCATCTGAAAATTCGATCGTGCGTCGTATACGCTGGCGCGCCTAATGTGTAGACCAGGTAGTGCTTTATTGCCTGCAGTCAAAACCAAGTACCCTTTGCGTCTTATAGTCCGATGTGCCGTATTTATGAATAAAACACAATCTAAGCAATTTATTGGCAGTGCGTCATAACCGTTGCTCCTCACGGTCCGTAAAATAAGGCACTAGTGCTGGATAGAAGTCTCTTGGACCCGAGTCGCAAGTCATTCAAGTTATACTTGATTTCTCAAACAACATGAAATGAATAATTATGACTCGCATTGATACTAAGACCACCATCTAGCACTAAACCTGCATTATTGGAAAATACAACGCAATCACCAATAACCCAAACTTAGTTATTGGTGAGGCTGGGGCCTTTCATTTTTATTTTACAAATACGACATCAATCTATATTCTAACTGTCTATGTTTATTTTACAGGACCCTGTGACGGTGTAGTGCATCTCGGGAAATGTTATCAAGCTTCTTTACACACCGCAAGAGATGTCACTTACGACGAAGCTGTTGCAATGTGTACAAAAATGTCGGCAAAACCAGCAGACATAATCGATTCTCAACATTATGATTTGATCTATTATTATATTTGAACAATAATGTCTTCATCATACGAAGAGTTGTGGTTGGCTATGACATTCGACCACTCGGTATATAAATAAATCGTGGCAATATTTGCTGTTATTGAGTTTTGTGAGAAATCACCATGGATTTTGAAATGAATTTCCCGTTTCTGATTAATCTAATGTACGTTCAAAGTCATGGAGTCAAAATTTTATGGGTGTTCACTCCCTGTGAAGGAGTTGTAGGGAAATCACTGTCACCATCCCATTTTATATGCCTAATTGAACTATTTATTTACTATATGCTTTCTACCTGTCCAGGAAATAATACTAACACCACCCCGTATACTAATTCTTACCATTTCACCAAAGTTTTACTTACACGCCAATTTTCATTGCGTTTAATATTTATCCTGGGTATCTTCGAATATCGCTAATTACCCCAATCATTTCTTATCGATCGCATTCCTAATTAGATTTCTGTATTTTTAACAGACGAATAGAGTTTTACTGTCAATCGGCGTCACTGCTCCATACGTTAAATACTACCACGGGAAACCCATCGCATCTGCAATCAACACCCAAATGGCGATCGTTGCAAGAAATCCGTCACGTGATGGTATCGTCACACAAGGAATGTTCAACGTCCCACGTTCGTATTATACCAATGGGGTGTTGTGCCAGAAGGAACGATCTCCATCAAACTAGGATTCTTTTTAAACTCGGTTATGGACAAAATCCGAGCTTATATGTATATACCGACTGGTCTTTTTGGCAAAAAAAAAAACTGATGTCATGCATAACTGATGTCATGTTTACCGAATCGAATTTCAGACAACTCATAAACAAACATTAAATTGGAATATCGAATAAATTTCAGTGCTAAAACCGTTAATGAAATGGAAAAGACCTCACACACATAGATATTTAATTTCCTCAAAAATTTACAATTGTGAGAGGTGCCTGGGTCTCTTGCTTGCGAAGCCAACATGATCAGATACATCGTTGCAACCAGTAGGCCAGTGGTTCCCAACCTTTCATGGTTCGTGTCCCTATTCTGTAGGCTATCAGCACTCATGGACCTTGTTCATCATTCCAGTGTTATTTATAGTTAAATGTTGAATTTTCAAAATTGCAATATTTCCAAATAATTTATACATATCAAATTGAAAACACCATGTCAAATATTCTTATCAAGCAATGAAACTAGGAAAATCGGAGAGTTTTCTTGTTGAGTGAAAAATTATAATGTGCTTACGAACAAACCCCAATGTGGCCCTCCATTAATAACCGCTGCCATAGGTCATTGTGCCCGAATCACAAACTTTCAATATGAACTCCAATATTAAATAATTTATAAATTTCACATCACCTGGCTTGATTTTTAATTTCTTCTGATTTCCATGTAAATTGCTTATATCTGCTGCATCTAGTTTTCCTTATGGTTCATTACATACAATTTAAAGTAATTATGTCGTGTATTATCATGTGTAATATATATCTGCATCACGGAGAATCATGTTAAACGACTCTATTTATTGGGAATGAAAAGTTGAATTTTGTTGGTTTTTTGAAAGAATCGGAATTTCATGCGGGGGCTCATTCGTGCTATTTTATATACGATGTTCATGTATGACATGTATGCTTCGAACAAGGCTCTGCACAGCCAATACCAGAATGTTTACGGTTCGATTTTCTCATGCAATTCTCATGCATCAGATCGATTTTTAAACAAGAGACCACATGAGAAGAATGATTTGAAAATGCTGTTTGTGTATTCTGAAATAAAACAAAACAAAAGTATTTTTTTATTTATGAATTGAATAATTTCTGAAAGTTTTCATAGTAATAATCGAGCTGCAGATTATACAATATTGTCTTTTTGCAATCATTATTGGATACGTAGTAGACTTATGGATCGTTTTGATATTATATTGTTGTTCTTCTTCTTGCTGTTGTTAGAAATGTTCACCAAATTTGCATGGGTATAAACATTAAATGTTACGTTTTGCACATTAGCTACATTGTCAGATAAAGATACAAATAAGAATATATCAAAAAACTCGCTAGAGCCCTGTCGTTTCAATAGCAACAGATATTTACATACAACAGACTGTTACGTTTTCGAGGTTGATCGAACGAAACTCCCAATTTTTAGCATTCCATTAGTGTTTCCGCTGCAGCAGGAGCACGCTTTCCGCACAGTTCAATACCATTCATCATTGATCATTTCGACGGTTATTCACTTTGTTGATTTAAAATAATGTGAGATAGGAGAATGAGAAACAAATTATCTGTTCCTGCAATCGATGCAAAAGATTTTTATTTAAACTGGTGACGAGTATACAAAATCAGAAACTAACACAAACATACTTCTGTAACGTTTCATCTTACATACCTAATTCAACTGGAACATGAAAAGAGATTGTAGTTGAACTATGTATGTTTGAGGAATTCTGACTTTGGTCATACAAAACGTTACAGAAATGTATTTGTATTAGAGTTAACTATTGAATCACTTGGAAAAGTTATCTTCACGTTTGCAACAGCATTCTTACGGATCCACCAGTGCAATAGTATAGATGGAGGATTGGTGGTTAGACCTATTAGACGGCAAATAGAATCGATAGCAGAAATACTCAATTTAAGGTCAGTATGACAAAATTAAATTGTGAATTGAAATTTATATTCATTTTAAATCCGAAACCTGAGCAGATTATTACTAATTTGTTATTTGAAAACGTACAGATTGGGGTCGTGATTTATTGAAAAAAAAAGATGAAATAAATTATTTTATTAACCAATCCACCATTCCCCCGTTCCCATCCATTTCCCAACGATGTGCCTACGTTACAGACAACAAGGCCACGAAGAAAATATTGCAAACTCGGCCTTAGCCCCTGAGTACGAAGAGATTCCTGTACCGGAAGGTGAGGAAGGATATCTCTCACCAATGCCAAACCCCAACGTATCTGTTCAATTACCAAGTGTGGAGGAGACTCACGCTAATCTCCAAGCGCTCAATTATAATGTCCAAGGGAATATTCATCCCCCACCTGTACCCCCTCCCATGTACGACAGCGTCGAATTGTAACCTCCCGCCAACCTGAATCTGCCTACGGATCCTACTGTCTCCTCAAAGCCCAGCACTTCTCGTCAGATGCCAAACATCGAACGTGTTTATGATGAACCCGATTATGCCACCGGGAAATATCAAATCCCATCCATTTCCCCCACCATTTATGATGATATAATTTGATTATATCACAGCCCCACCTATCACATAGTCCTAATTAGGCAGAATACTGCTTCTCTTGTCGAATTCAGTAACTTTGAAAACCCTGTTTTCAACTTTATTTGAAAAAATATTGTCTTTGTTTAATTCATGTAATCACATTTTATATGTTCCATTGACACCGAGGGAAATATTTTGTTATTTAATTACTGTGATTTTCATATTAGTCAACCGCGACCAAACAATAACTAGTTGTGAGCTTTTAACGAATGAAGCTTTGAATAAAAATATGATTTACGAGTTAGAAAAAATCTCTCAACGGTTGAGTTTGTTGTGAACGGCAATGTATGTGTTCAAATTCTGACTTTCTCATGATTTCTTTTACGAATTCCATTGCCTATGCAGATAGCGTCAGTAATCAAGAAATGTTATTTCTTATGGAAAATCTTATCTTATTACTTTATTGAAATTTATACACGGGTTATATAAATAAAGAATATAAACAAGACAATTATTTAGCAATTCATGTTGGAGAATGTCAATCAACGGATACAAATCATGCAAGTACGCGCAAAGCATTAACAAATTTGTAATTTAGGCAGTGAATCATTTTAAACATGCTGTCTTGTATTATAGCGTGTATAACGCAATCGCTTTCATAGATCATGTAGCTATAGGCTGCTGAGATGGCAAACCTTCTATAATGAAAGGGTTAAAAACTATATGTTCCGTGTACAAAAGAGTGCACTGAATGAGGGTCGCTTTAACTAACAATTTTTGTCTCCTAAATGTTTGTAGTTGAAAAGCAAGGTAATATTAGTTTTTGCATGAATTTTGAAAATAGTAATTGTGATATATGTTAGTCAGTACTTCAATGCTTAACGGTAGTGTACAATTTAAATCGAAGATGCAATACACTTTATAAATTCGCATATTGTTTGTTTAATTGCCTATTTTGTTGTCATATTACGACAATAATTATGTGTCGTCGTCACCAAGTTAACTTGAAATTCTAAAAATTACAGCGAGCGATGGGGGTCGTAATTCTGCATAATTTGCGTGATTGGTTTGTTGAACTATTGATCCATCAACCTTTCCGTAAGAGCCATATATAACAACCGTCGATATTTATGTTGTCGATGAATATTGTGTCCTTGAGGGGAAGATTGGTAAATCACCCTTGATCGATATAGCATGGTTCCCAGCTCCTACAATTATATCCTTGCCATACTTAACTTCGAGATGAAGTGCATGACTTTGGGACTCAAACAGCAGGAGGTAGAAAAAACAAAAACATGCCAGGCAGACATCCCATCGTGATTGAGACGACACGTTCAGGCAGAAATGAGTTGTATGAAGAAAAAAAAACGAGAAAGTAACACTGGAAATTCTATGTGGTTCATAATCATAAAAACTAGATAAAGCATGCGTTGTGAAGAATGAACTAGTCATAATAATAGAATATATCTTTGACCACTTCTTCTTTGATATATTACAATGGTATGATGACATTACAATAATTTGAATACAGCAAACTCTTTTACATGCTTTTCCATTACATTGTATGTGAAACCGCACATAGCAAGGCTACATAATACAGAGACAACAACACAATTCTCATCAGTCTGAGGAAGAGGTCTTGCAATAAACTTCGAATCTTTCTTCGATTAATGGTTTTCGAAACATAAGCTGTTTTGAGGTGAGTATAGTCTGTAGTTTTGGCCAAAAGATTTGTATGATTTGAAAAATGTCTGTCAAAGCTCTACAATTAGTACTGTTCAATAGAGCTTTTCTTTGTTCAAATCGAAATTTATTTAAATAATTTCTATGGCAGAAAATTTAGCAAGAACTTCTCAGAAGTTTCTCTAAATATAAAGCAGGGATGGCGAACCTTTTTCAATGAATGGGTCCAAAATTATGTTTTTATCGCGGAACAGAAGAGAGTGGGTCACAGATATTTAATCAATGTTTGTATCTATAGGAAACTCCTGAAACAAATACAAACACAGAAAATTATACAGCTCTTCTATCAGGGACTTTTCATGGCACTCGATTTTATGAAATTAGAGTACGAAATTATTTTTGCGCAAATTATTTTATGGTTCCAAATAGTTTGGAGGGATTCCACTCTAATAGTCTCATATTTTTCGATCAGCTTCCAATCACATTAAAGCACTTTTACACTGCCCCATTGTAATTTCAGATTTCTAGGTTTTTATTTCAAGTCTGAAAGATTTTGTATTCTCAACGGCATTGTAGGCGAGAAACTAATAAAATGCAAAGTAGCATCTAGTTCGCGTATAACCCCTAAAACAGTCTGCAGATGAACTTCCGAAAAATACAAAACGTTGCGAGAAATGAACATCAATTACAATGTTATGTCATAAACGATGTCAGAGCCAATGGCTGAATAATGGCACACAACGGTGCAGACATGCGTCAAAGCTTAGGGATTTTGACGATTACCATACCGGAAATTAACAATTTTAATATAAGCTATCGTAGCCCTGACTGCCCAACTGACGGTAGTTTAGTTAATGTTAGATTAATTTAAGGCCGGTTTTATCAATTTTTATCACTGATATGTTAGTATTTTTTCATTTTATTCATGCTTTGGCGGGTACGAATAGAACGCGATGAATCACTTTGTGACCCGCGGTTTCGTGGTCCGCCATCCATGACATAGAGGTAGTATTTGATATCAGTAACGCAGCAACGAATGCGGCTCAATAAATGTTTGATAACTCTTTATGGCGCCGCAGTAAACGGCTGTAACATTAATTGTAGGTTTCTTTGTTTAAACGAGACATTCCACTTAATAAAAATGTTTTCAAATTTTGTGTATTTTATTCTCAAAAAATATTACAATAACAAAATCTAATTACCTGTTATTTATATATCCCGAAACGAAATTAAGCAGGTCAAGTCTTGGATGTAAAATTGCTGATTTTCGTTTCGTTTTCATTTTAACAAAAAAGGCATATTAAATCTTTTCAGAAACAGCTTTCGCTTCAGAATTCAACAATGAAAAAGACAATTTACTATTATGCTGTGATGGCATTAATGCTATATGCTTTTATTTTCGGTCAGAAGATCATAAAAGTAGGATTCTCAGGCCGTGAGTAAAGCGGGGAAAAATTGTAGAACTAAATCTGAAAATCAAATGTCATTACAATACAAATACATTAAAAGGATCTTTTTAAATTCCACACAGCAAAAGCAACGCATTCCCCGACTAATGTATTATTTGATCAAATTTTCAAAGAGAGTGGTGCGGCCTATGGCTACTTGTCTCATTCAATATCAAAACTATACATTTTTTATGTGTGACTATGGCGTTATATTATTTTTTATGGTGCTCCCAAAGAATGTGAACCAAGATGGCGGACACTGGGGCGTAGTATGTGTACCAGGTTAGGGTTAGGCCATAATTTTATTCCAATTTTCCTCATTTTTTAGGTCCATTACGAGTTCGGTGACTAGCCAAGTGACTCCCGTGGTATTTATATTTTGTACCTGAATCTATGGCCTAACACTAACCGGTACACATACTACGTTGAGGTGTCCGCCATCTTGGTTTACATACTTCGGGAGTACCCCTTTTATTACACTAATGAGGCTGAGCAAGACATTGTGTGAATTTTTGCGTTATACAACATCGACACTATTTCAGTAAATGCTTCAGTAACACGAAGAGTCAAAAAACATGAGCTTGCAAGCTTCACATGTAGGCTATATAATCATTCAAATATCGCATCAATTTTAATTAAATTCAACTCATAACGTATTTCAGCTCAGTTTCCCCACCCTCAAGAATAGTGGGAATGTTGACACAAGTTTTACGAACAGTAAGTACTTTTTAGTTTAAAAATCATTTTTATGTTTTACAAATTGTTAATATAAAAAAATACCGCATTGTGTTATTGCGAATTGAACATTTTAGTTGAAAAGAATATTATAAAAGAACTTTAAGATTCATTTTTCTCTGAATACTGACGGATGAGGTGGCCATCAACTTACTTACCTATTTTTCATTTCAGAAAAAGATCGATGGCCATTTTATTAAATCGATATTTTTACATTATTCTATAAACTAGAAGATGAAAGAATCACAAACATTGACGATATTCATAATTCGTATTGTTTGCGTTGTATTTTTAATTTGATTCATCATTATTAAACAGCAATTGCTTCAAAAATAAATTCCACAACCTATACCTATTATTTTATCCTATTCTTCGCCTTTCTGTAGGTTCAAGAATATTTTATTGTTCGTTTCGTCAAGTTATTTAGTAAGTGGATAATTTCAAACAAAAAGAACTAAGCAGTACTGTAATGCGGCAATCAACAGATGCTAGTGTAACCGAATAATTAACTATATGGAATATAAATAAATGATAACTATGAAAACAAAGAAAAATTGGCCAAACGTGGTTTCGATGCTATGTGGTCCGTGATTTAGATTATTCTAGAAAACGGATTTCCGTATTTTGCGCGTTTTATCAAACGTGAGGTGTGAGCATGAGCGATATGTGTTCGTGTGGTATATGTAATGGACTCGCTTCTGATGACCACTGTGAAGCTAGTAGCAATTTGACCTTTGTGTGCGGCGAAGCGGAAAGGTCAATATTTGAGGCAGAAATAGAGGCGTGTCAGAATCTACAACCGAAAAAATGAAAATAAACGAAATTAGCATACTATGTTTATAATATGTTTATAATTTGGGAAAAATAACAATTATATAGCAAAAAATAAATTTTAAAAGCTTGAAAAGGAATGAAAAAACAAAAAAAAAGGGGAAACGAATTTTATTTAACTTCCTTCGGAAAAGCAGATAAGCCAGATAATTTCAAATCCAAGCAAAAATCCCTTCCGCGGGAGAGGCATTCGATTTCATTATTTATTAATAAAGAGGTTTATGTTAATTTTTTCCCACAACTAGAACCTAAGTCTTTTTTTTTATTTTAGAATCTACGTTTTTCTCATAGCGAAAATGACCTTATTTGGGAAAATTACGTATAACGAAAAAAGTTAAATCTAGTCAATTTTCAAAGTCCAGCAACACACCCTTCTGCACAAAAGACATTCGATTTCATTATTTGTTATTAAAGAGGTTTACCTGAAGTTTTTCACTCAACTAGAACCTAAGCCTTTTTCATTTAAAATCAAGGGTATTCTCATAGCGAATATGGCCTTGTTTGAAAAAAATACGTATATCGACAAAAGATAACTTAGTCAATTTTCAAAGCCCAGCTGCACACCCTTCCCCACAAGCGGCATTCGGTTTGGTTATTTCCCATTAAAGAAGATTACCAGAAGTTTTTCACACAACTAGAACCTAAGCCTTTTTTATTTTAGAATCTGGGGTATTCTCATAGCGAAAATGGCCTTATTTGAAAAAATTAGGTATAGCGAAAAAAGCTAGTGTAGTCCATTTTCAAAGCCTAGCAGCACACTCTTCCGCACAAGAGGCATTCGATTTGATTATTTCATGTTAAAGAGGTTTATCTGAAGTTTTTCACACAACTAGAACCTAAGCCTTTTTTATTTTAGAATCTACGTTATTCTTATGGCGAAAATGGCCTTATTTTGAAAAATTACGTATAGCGAAAAAAGCTAATTTAGTCAATTTTCAAAGCCTATCAGCACACCCTTCCGCACAAGAGGCATTCGATTTGATTATTTCATGTTAAAGAGATTTACCTGAAGTTTTCCACACAACTAGAAGCTAAGCCTTTTTTATTTTAGAATCTGAGGTATTCTCATAGCGAAAATGGCCTTATTTGGAAAAAAACATATAGCGAAATAAGCTTATTTAGTCAATTTTCAAAGCCTAGCAGCACACCCTTCCGCACAAGAGGCATTCGATTTGATTATTTCATGTTAAAAAAGTTTACCTGAAGTTTGCCACACAACTAGAACCTAAGCCTTTTTCATTTTAGAATCTACGTTTTTCTCATGGCGAAAATGGCCCTAATTAGAAAAATTACGCATAGCGAAAAAAGCTAATTTAGTCAATTTTGAAAGCCTAGCAGCACACCCTTCCACACAAGTGGCATTCGATTTGATTATTTCCATTAAAGAGGTTTACCTGAAGTTTTCCCAACAACTAGAACCTAAGCCTTTTTTATTTTAGAATCTTACGTTATTCTTACGGCGAAAATGGCCTTATTTGAAAAATTACGTATAGCGAAAAAAGCTAATTTGTCAATTTTCAAAGCCTAGCAGCACACCCTTTCCGCACAAGAGGCATTCGATTTTGATTATTTATGTTAAAGAGGTCTACCTGAAGTTTTTCCACACAACTAGAACATGAGCCTTTTTTTATTTTAATCTACGTTATTCTCATGGCGAAAATGGCCTTATTGGAAAAATTACGTATAGCGAAAAAAGCTAATTTAGTCAATTTTCAAAGCCTAGCAGCACACCTCTCCGCACAAAGGCATTCAATTTTGATTATTTCATTTTAAAGAGGTTCACATGGAAGTTTGCCACACAACTAGAAACCTAAGCCTTTTTTATTTGAAATCTACGTTATTCTTATGGCGAAAATGGCCTTATTTTGGAAAATTACGTATAGCGAAAAAAGCTAATTTAGTCAATTTTCAAAGCCCTAGCAGCACACTCTTCCGCACAAGAGGCATCGATTTGATTATTTCATGTTAAAGAGGTTTACCTGAAGTTTTCCACACACTAGAACCTAAGCCTTTTTCATTTTAGAATCTACGTTTTTCTCATGGCGAAAATGGCCCTAGTTAGAAAAATTTACGCATAGCGAAAAAAAGCTAATTTAGTCAATTTTGAAAAGCCTAGCAGCACACCCTTCCGCACAGAGGCATTCGATTTGATTATTTCCATTAAGAAGATTACCTGAAGTTTTCCACACAACTAGAACCTAAGCCTTTTTTATTTCAGAATCTACGTTATTCTTACGGCGAAAATGGCCTTATTTTGAAAAAATTACGTTATAGCGAAAAAGCTAATTTAGTCAATTTCAAAGCCTAGCAGCACACCTTCCCGCACAAGAGGCATTCGATTTGATTATTTCATGTTAAAGAGGTTTACCTGAAGTTTTCCACACAACTAGAACCTAAGCCTTTTTTATTTTAGAATCTGGGTTTTCTCATAGCGAAAATGGCCTTATTTGGAAAAATTACGTATAGCGAAATAAGCTTATTTAGTCAATTTTCAAAGCCTAGCAGCACACCCTTCCGCACAAGAGGCATTCGATTTGATTATTTCATGTTAAAAAGGTTTACCTGAAGTTTGCCACACAACTAGAACCTAAGCCTTTTTTATTTTAGAATCTACGTTATTCTTATGGCGAAAATGGCCTTATTTTGAAAAATTACGTATAGCGAAAAAAGCTAATTTAGTCAATTTTCAAAGCCTAGCAGCACACCCTTCCGCACAAGAGGCATTCGATTTGATTATTTCATGTTAAAGAGGTTTACCTGAAGTTTTTCCACAACTAGAACCTAAGCCTTTTTTATTTTAGAATCTACGTTTTTCTCATGGCGAAAATGGCCTTAATTGAAAAATTACGTATAGCGAAAAAAGCTAATTTAGTCAATTTTCAAAGCCTAGCAGCACACCCTTCCGCACAAGAGGCATTCGATTTGATTATTTCATGTAAAGAGGTTTACCTGAAAGTTTTCCACACAACTAGAAACTAAGCCTTTTTATTTTAGAATCTCGTTATTCTCATGGCGAAAATGGCCTTATTTGGAAAAATTACGTATAGCGAAAAAAGCTAATTTAGTCAATTTTCAAAGCCTAGCAGCACACCCTTCCGCACAAGAGGCATTCGATTTGATTATTTCATGTTAAAGAGGTTTACCTGAAGTTTCCACACAACTAGAACCTAAGCCTTTTTTATTTTAGAATCTACGTTATTCTCATGGCGAAAATGGCCCTTAATTGGAAAAATTACGCATAGCGAAAAAAGCTAATTTAGTCAATTTTGAAAGCCTAGCAGCACACCCTTCCGCACAAGAGGCATTCGATTTGATTCTTTCATGTTAAAGAGGTTTACCTGAAGTTTGCCACACAACTAGAACTAAGCCTTTTTTATTTAGAATCTACGTTATTCTTATGGCGAAAATGGCCTTATTTGAAAAATTACGTATAGCGAAAAAGCTAATTTAGTCAATTTTCAAAGCCTAGCAGCACACCCTTCCGCACAAGAGGCATTCGATTTGATTATTTCATGTTAAAGAGGTTACCTGAAGTTTGCCACACAACTAGAAGCTAAGCCTTTTTTATTTTAGAATCTACGTTATTCTCATGGCGAAAATGGCCTTAATTTGAAAAATTACGCATAGCGAAAAAAGCTAATTTAGTCAATTTTCAAAGCCTAGCAGCACACCCTTCCGCACAAGAGGCATTCGATTTGATTATTTCATGTTAAAGAAGTTTACCTGAAGTTTGCCACACAACTAGAAGCTAAGCCTTTTTTATTTTAGAATCTACGTTTTTCTCATGGCGAAAATGGCCTAATGGAAAAATTAGGCATAGCGAAAAAAGCTAATTTAGTCAATTTTCAAAGCCTAGCAGCACACCTTTCCGCACAAGAGGCATTCGATTTGATTATTTCATGTTAAAGAGGTTTACCTGAAGTTTTCCACACAACTAGAACCTAAGCCTTTTTTATTTTAGAATCTGGGGTATTCTCATAGCGAAAATGGCCTTATTTGGAAAAATTACATATAGCGAAATAAGCTTATTTAGTCAATTTTCAAAGTAAGGCCATTTTCGCCATAAGAATAACGTAGATTTTAAAATAAAAAAGGCTTAGGTTCTAGTTGTGTGAAAAACTTCAGGTAATCTTCTTTAATGGGAAG